CGCGGGAAACCCATAACTAGTCATCGACCCCCCAACAGGCAACCCCCCAGGCCGATACGTAGGCGGAGCCATCAAACCCTGCTGCTGCATCCCCGGCGAATACCCCATAGTAGGTGACGGGAAGTAACCCCCCCGCTGCTGAGCCCCTCCAGCGCCAAACAAAGGCGTACTAGCACTCGTCTGGATCCCCTGTGAAGGACCCGACATCCCCACACCTCCAAGCCCATTATTATACAAACCCCCCGCAAACCCCCCAGCAGGAGCCTTCGCCCCAATATTCCCCCCTCCCAACAATGCACTAGCATTCCTTGCACTTTGTGGCCTACTCCCGGCATCCACAAGCGGCCTATCCAACCCATAAAAGCTCGCAGACCGAATATTCGTGCTCGCAAGCTGCTGTTTCTGCTTCGCCTGCAGTAAAGCACTAGCATGCAGCAACGTCCCCTCGGCAGCTTTATGCTCTTTACTAGCCTTCCTCGCCCCAACAGGATGAGCAGCGAGCAAATTCGCGAAACTAGAGCCAGCTCTCTGCATTTCAGGCCGTTGCGCAATAGTAGCCAAAGGCACGTCTTCCTCTTCTTCCATTTCGCGCTGCAGTCGAGCGCGTCGCTGTCCTAACGTTTCTTCCTCTTGTGCACCGGCGTCGGCTGCTTCTTCATCATCCACAGGCAGAGCAATATCTTTACCCTGCGTGCCGGGCCTGCTACCGCTCTCTTTCGTATCCTCGGCAGCCCCAAATTGACCAAGGACATCATCCGCAAACGTGCTAACAGGTTTACTCCCATCCTTAGGCAAAACATCACTCACAGCAGTCGCAAGCGCATCCTGAGTCTTCAGCTTCCTCAGTCTATCCCCCAACGTCTCCCCCTCCTCCCCCTCCTCTGCCTCCACCAACCCATCACCCCGTTGTTGTTGTTCTTGTTGTTGTTGCTGTTGTTGCCCTCCAAGTAAATCCACCCGACTAAAAGTCGGCACCAACCCCCTCCTAACCTCCCTCTCCCCCCTCCCAAACCCAGCCGCAGGCAACCCCAACATCCTATTCCTCCTCAAAGCCAACGGCTCATTATCCTCCATCTCCCGCTTCTCCATCAACCCCATTGGTCTCCCCGCCGCAAACCCCTCGACCTCACCCATCCTCTTCTTCCTCTGCTCTTTCACCGGAAACAAAACGCCAAGCGGCACCTCGTCGTCTTCATCCACCCTCTCTTCCTGCGGTTCAATAGCACCTTCCCACGCAAGCGGGATCCGCTGTCTCTGTCTTTTAGCCTTGCTGATCTGCTCCACGGCATCAAGCTGGAGAAGCGTCGAGTGCATGCCATTCGGGTAATGCGTCGCAGCCGTTCGATTCCGGGTCCTCTGATGTGCTTTCCGAACTTGCAGCTCAGCTAGCAGCGTACTAGGCTGTACAAACTGTGCCTCAGCGTCCTCGTCAAGATCCTCCCCAGCTTCCTCTTCCTTGAAGTCCTCATCAATCTGCTGTTGTGTGCCATCCCGATCATGATTCCAACTAGCCGCCGTAACCGGCCTCTCACCACCAGCCTCACCCTCAGCATCCCTCGTCCTCGCCGCAGCACTAAGCCCAGCAGCCAGATCCGCATCCGAGACATCCTGACTAGGACTATACACCTCCTCCCCACCCAGCCTCTTCACCTCATCCCCAAGACTCATCTGACTCTTCCGCTTCTGCAACTTCCTCCCCCCCTCATTGAAATCCAACAACAAACTCCCCCGACTTCCCCGTCGTTCCAACTGCTCCGCCAAATCATTCCCACTACTAGCCCTCCTCAACAAATTCCCAAGACTACTCCTCCGCTTCGTTAGACCCGGCCGCGCCGTCTCCGACATATCCTCGCCAAGCGTAGTACTACGTCTCGCCCTCGCATTCTCAGGAGCAAAAGTCGATCTTCGCACGTCGCCAGCGAACGGGTGATCGGTGAAAGCAGTCACTGGCGCTGTCGCAGACGCAGCGAGGATGCTGTCGAGTGTAGCGACCGCGGACTCGTTCTTGACTTGCACATCGTGCGTTACGGACTGCTGGTCGAAGAAGACGCTCGCTCTCAGTTGCGGTGGCAAGTGCTGCATGTTTGCTACACTCATCCTCTCGTTCAGATATGGGCGAGGAGGCTGGTCGGGGTGTGAGCCGGAGCTTTCCCGGCTGTGACCGCCGCTGGGTCGTTTGGGTGTTGTCTCGTCGCGCTCGTCGAAGTCCATTTGTGGGATCCAGGGTGCGGCGTGTATTACGTCTGGGTCGATTTGACTCAGCACTTGCGTTCGTCGCTTTGCTTGCACCTTGGCTGCTGGGAGTTGGGAGAGTCGTTTAGGTAGGTTGAGCATGCGTGGGACTGGGGCAGGGTAGTACACCATGCCGTCTGCGGGCGGCGGTTCTGCGTAGGATATAGGTCGAGCGCGAGGCGTGCGCAGCATTGACGCGGCTGACACTGATAGCCCACCAGAAGAGTTTCGAGCGGATATCCGCCTTACTTCGTTGCCGTGCTCGTCCACTTCTACGAATTCGTCGGTGTTGGGCGAGAAGTGCACGCCATCGAAGTCCTTGAACGCCGTCTGGGCTTCCTGGAAAGTATCCGTCGATCGTGGTCGCATAGGCGGTGTCGTTGTGCCTCGACCCTGACCATCCTGCATACCTGATTGAGGCACGTGCTCGAGAGACTCCTGAATCTGGCCAGCTATTTGATCGTAATGCCTGCTGAACGAGCTCTGCGATATCTGCCGTGAAGGATCGTGTTCTTCCGGCGGCGAAGTGCTGTAGAGCGAACCACCTGGTGCTAGAGGCGAGTCGAGGGGTTTGCCCTCCTGCACCGGCTCAATCATTTGTGCTAGTCGTGACGAGCTGGTAGCCGACGGCTTGCGAGGCAGAGACGGCTGCGACCGACCACTGCCAGACCTTGCCGGGCCTACCGAGGAAGGCATAAACCTGTTAGGACTGTAGCCAGCCCATCTCGCCTCCCTCGTCGCATCCGCCAAGCCATTGCTGCTTGCCCGCCCTCGTCCGTCCGAGTCTCTGCTGTCCATCTGCACCAATCCCAGAGCATCGTTCGAGCCGCCTCTCGTCCTGCTGCCCTCGCCCTGATGGCTACTCTGTATCGAACTCTGCCGACTCCGCTGTTTCTGCTCTTCATTCATCCGTCTGATCTCCTCCCCGATATCGCTTCCACCTTGAGAAATGTCCTCGGCCATCTGCTCCAGATTCATGATATTGCGCGAGTATGTGCGTTGCAGCGCGGGCGGAGGGTAGTCGGCGGTGATGTGCCCACATAAAGGCTGCACGGATCTGACAGCCGCCGAGGAAAGGGCCATCCCGTGACCAACACGAAGCGATACGAGAAGCTTGAATTAGAATGGCGAGAGCGAGAACATCCTCCTTTTCAATTGTAGTGAACACAATAACACGAGACAATTCGCGACCGCATAGAACAACAGAAACACAGCTCAAACAAATAATGCCTGCACGCGATCTACCTCCCGAACCGTCAACACCGATCTGCCACCATACCCGTCGCGCTAGTCTCCTCCGCGGCCAGCTCGCTATCTCACAAGAGATACACAGATACACGGCCAATCTTGGAGCGGCGGCACTGCAGAGAGCCGACGTGCAGCACCGCGTTACTTGGTGTCTTATCAGCGTTGAGCTTTTGGTCTTTAATCGTTGTATGGGAGCACAGACGCTGTGCTTCGACGGAGTCCGTGAAACATGAGACCTTGTCGTGACAGGGGGCTTGAGGGGCTCCTGCAGCGAGCGAGCCTTGCGTGGTGTTGTTGTTGAACGAAAGCGAACGAGATATAGCATTGCATATCATGGCTGACGTGAGAGAAGTAGTGATAGTGCCTGTACATTCAACAATGACCCATTAACAGTAATACGTTCGAAGGAAACGCGTCAAACGGGAACAGTGTCCGGATTTGCAGTCTCCAACGACAGACATACCTACCGAACAAACCTCTACATGTAGCCTCAAGCACGATTAATGCAACCTGACCGAGAGCATGTAGTAAGGCCAGGATTCCCTAGCATTCCAGTTCATATCGCACTTCACTCCTTACCCGTTCCATCAAGAAGACCTATTCTATCGCACGATAGCGAACCCTCAACAGCGCTCAGAGCCCTGCCAAAATGTCGACAGAGAACACAACTCCAACCTCAACAGTCAAAACTTTCCTCGCAGCCATCAAGCACCACGATACCGACCGCATGCGTGATATCTGCCACCCTGATGCGACCGGCTGTCTGATTCGCGATGGCAGACCCGTCTACACCACCGTTGCCGCGATCCTGCAGAGGCTGGATGAGCGGAAGGACGAGGCGATGGAAGAGATTAGTTGGGACGAAGTTGAGCATGTTTGTGGTGATTTCGCGAGTGTGTGGGCGCCGTATAAGTTCTTTTCGGGCGGTAAGGTGAGTGAGGTGTGGGAATGGCAGATGGGTTGGGATCTGATGATTACGCAGCTGCGTCATGAAGGGGGGAGTGCGTATACGCTGTGGAAGAGTCCGGAGGTCGGGTGGGTGATTACTGTTGTGCAGGATATTGCGTTGTCGGTAGGGGAGTCTGCTGGAGACATGTTCGATAGAAAAACGTGAAGCAGAGCCTTGCTATGACAACAAGCAAGCCACCTCTACCTGCAAATTATCTGTCAGGCAACGTACTGCTATAACCTCGGACACGGTGATTGTTCTCAGTGTTAGTTCGGCGGCTACGGCTGCTTGATTGTTCTTGATACGACCGAGAGTCCGAATCTCCACGTTGCCATGATGGATTTGCTCAACCCTTCCGATACCGTACACATCAACCAGAAAGATAATGTGCCACTATAGGTATGACCTTGACTATGGGCGCTTCTAACGTGTTGCTTGATGGCTACAAGATGCAAAAACTCTGCAACTTCCACAATCGTCGTTGAATAGCCAATGCGAAACCATCCTACGCAAATGGATGTGTGAACTCGAAATAGCAAAAAGAGAATGAACTGGTTACGCTCGTGAATGGCGACACCTGTGTGATTCGAACTTTTCACACCTCAAGTCAGAACAGGCTTCAATGGGTATATAGTGATTCGAATAAACTCACCACACGCTCCCGAAGGAAATGCCTTAGCAGGGCATCGCGTTAACCACTCCGCCAAAGTGCCATGTGCTTGATGGAGATGTAGAATTGGTCGTATCCAATATAACGCTAGGACATTTGACCCGAGCTCTCACCGAGCCGACCCCACCACAAATTCGACAATGCAGACTTCAAGATTCAATGCCTACGGCTCTCATGAGTGGCACATGCTGATTTCCAATTGTCGAGACGGCCCAATGAACGTTGTGGATTGTGTAGATGCTTGGAAGCATCTTCGAGGGCTATGATGTTGTCTCCGTTGCAATGCTCTGCACGGAGCCTCTGTACTGGAACATAGAGCTTGAATGCAGACTGATAGCAGTGAGACTGCTGCTTGACACAATCAAACAGCGATTGCGTAGTCTACTGCACGAGATTCTTGAACAAGGTTGATGAGGTAGTGATAACGCCGAGCCTCAAACTGCAACAGCGGAGTCAAGAGATCGATTCTAAAATGTAACATCAGTTCGCAGAGAAGATAGATCCATGCAGCCACATCGTCTCGAAACAACGAACACAGCCATCCTCTCTTGTCGGCTGTCTCAAGATACACAACTCGGAAATGGTGAATTCCTGTGGTTGAGAGGGTGTCCACAAAGTCGACAGGAACAAGCATCTCGCCCGCGCTGAGTGCAAACAAGCTCGTACACTGAGCTTGGTACAGTGGCGAGCAATGAGAATGCCGGAGATCTACCAGGTCCAGGGATACGAGTGCACTTGGTCGAAAGGGCTCCGACCTAGGATCACTGGCTTTCGTCTTGCCTGCAAGTCCGATGACTTTCGTTCAGGGTCTCCACAACACTAACATCGGAGGGCAGATGATGACGATTTCTGAAGACGTCGCAAAGTCCAGGTGGCACACAATTCTCCTGATAAGGAAGCGTTCACCCCGTAAAATCAAACCGCCTCTCCCACCGCCACCACCCTCGATCGTACCGCCAGAGTCCAAGCCCTTCCGCAGTACCCACATCAGACTGAAACGTGTTCTGCACCTCTTCCATCGCCTTCGCCACCTCAGCATCGTCATCAACCTTGTTCATGATCGTGTAGTGCACATGACAACCACCTCGATCCTGCTCGCTCAGAAAGCCGTCCTTCAGCCAGGCCTGCTGCAGCGCGTGATGGACACCCTGCGCTTGTTGCGATCCCTGTGTCTTGGCAACCGAAAGTGCGATTCCATGCTTCAGACGAAACGGTTTTGTTGCTCTCACGCTAAATGAAGAAGTCTGTGACGCAACGTCCTGCAAGACTGGGATGATAGACGACTCAAGCTTGCTACCAGGCAAGGCATGAAAGAAAGTAAGATGGGCGTCCAGCTTGTTGATACGTTTTGGAAAGTACTGGGTTCTCCAATTGGTCATGCGGTCATGGTGAGGCTTGTCAGTCAGGAGTGTAACAATATAGACTGCGTCGTCCTCGGGTACTCCTTGCGGCTTGTGACGGGATGGCGACGGCGTCCGAGGCTTGACGGATGCGGTCTGTTGTGGAGGAACGGAGGGAGCAGGCGCTCTGTTTGCCTGTTGGTTTGCATTTTGGCCTGTGGATGTGCTACTCGACCCAGAGACAGCTGCAGAATAACTCAATGGCATCTTGCTGTTTGCGCAAACGGTGATTCTTGCAGGTGTGGAAAGCTGGAGGGTAAGGAGACGAAACATGAGCGTACCGTGCTGATACTCGACGGTGATGAGGTGCGATGACCTTCGTGTCGATAGAATCCGTTTGTGGTTTGGAGAGAAGGCGAGGAAAGTGGTGACGTTGATGGACAACGGCGAAACCTCGGGATTCCTTTCCAGCCACCTCACTTCTGCCTGTCGCTTCTCTCCTCCACGCGACCAGTGTCAATAATACATCCCTCGACATATATTGCGACATGGCAGAGGCAGCAGCACGTTCGTCGAAGCGTCCAAAGCTCTCCGATGAGGATCACCCAAAGCTGGACTTCCCTCATGATGAGCTGATACTGCCTCTTGTCGCAGTAGGTCATGATGAGATCCGAGTCTTAGTAGTAGCTCCGGGTGAGGTTGGGTCACCTCTAACGGCATCTGTCGAGCTCATAAGATTGCAACCTAAGCTCCCTGCTTCACAGGATCCTGTCAACATAGCTGACGAAGAAGATAACGTTGCCTCCGAAGATGACAACACAATCAACACGTCACTGGCTGAGATCAAGTACGTGAGGGCAGGAGATAGCCTCTTCGCAGTGCCTTTAGCATACACTGGGGACGGAACTGAATTCCTCGACGAACATATCGATGACACACTCGCCGCTCTCAACTACGAAGCAATCTCATACGTATGGGGTGCCCCAGTATACTCGCATACTATCAGCTTGAATGGCCACGGGGTGTTGCGTATAACACAATCTCTACACGATGCGCTGCAACGGCTACGGCGCCCTGACGGCACACGGACGCTATGGGCTGATGCTATCTGTATCAACCAAGCTGATATGACCGAGCGCTCGACTCAGGTCAGCATGATGGATAGGGTGTACCAGCAAGCCAAGGCTGTTCCTGTCTGGCTTGGCCAATCGCAGGATACTGATGCTCTGGCATTCGCAGCCATTACCGCGTATCTGGGCGATGCGAGGGGCGACGACGTGACAGATGTATGGGTACGGCTTGGATCGTGTTTACAAGAGAAAGGATGCTGCCCTTGTTGCGCCGAGCGTTTCAGTACCGACGGAGAACTCGCCGCTGATGCATTGCTTGCCATCGGCAACTTATTGCAACGTCCGTGGTTCAGTCGTTTGTGGGTAGTGTAAGTGCTGTTGATATTCTGCTTGCCCGGCTCGCATGCTTATCCGAGTGCGCAGGCAAGAAACCTCAACTTCGGCTCGGCTGCGGGACCATGCCGTGGTGTTTTGCGGACAGCACCACATACCTTACCTTGATCTGAGAGACGCGGTCCGGATGATCCAGTCTGATGCATCGCCTGAAGGCACGCTGCGTTCGACTCCCGGACCGCCTGAGGGTATAGTTGGGCCGATCATGAAGTTATGGGCTGGAATCAACTCAGTGCGTGATTGGTACACTGACATTGAAGATTGGCCCCCTAGTTATCTACTGCGTACCTTGGCTGGGATGTCAAACCGCCAATGTTCGAACCCACTCGATCGTGTCTATGCCATCCGCTCACTGCTGGGCCTTACAGACGAGCCGACTTTGATTCCGGATTACCGACTCAGCTCAGTCGAGGTATTCCGCAGACTCACGATAGTTTTGCTGGCGGTCTTCGACCGTGTCGGTCAAAGCGACTCAGACCAGCCATGGGCTTTGCTCGCTCTCGCAGGTACAACTCGAGGTAAGACGGTCGATGCAGGTTGGCCATCTTGGGTTCCCAACTTCGACGCTTTCCCATCACGGTCGCGCAGCGTTGTTGAGTTGTACACCCGAAATCAATGGTTGGAGGTGCCGCAATTCCTGCCAGCGCCAGCCTTGTTCTCAACACGACTGCGGCAGTCCTCTGCAGAGTTGCAGGTCAAAGGTAAATGCTTCGCGAAGGTGCGAGAGATCTTCAGTGACACCGAGTATCCCGTACTCAGCGAGACGCACTCGGATCGGATCTCTGATATGGAGCTGTCGATCTTTCGAGCTTGGTATGTGCGATGTCTTCACTGCATCGGCCAAACAGCGTTGGTCAACGAGGAGGTCATCACACATTCGACTACATTCCTAGCATGCGGGACTCAATTAGCCCATCTCCCTCGCGAGATGGAAGATGTCGAAGGGGCTGTCGATCACTCCGGTGGTTGGCTTTTCCCGGATAGATGGCCCGAGGATGTCAATCTCGTACGAGAGCATTTCATGCTATTATCCGCGTCAGAGCAGAGCCCGCCTGACAAAGCTCGAGTGATTGCTCGCATTGAGCTGGACGGGAATCAAGGCTTACATGACTACTGCTGGGTACCTCCTCGAGCTCTCGAGGGAGATCGGGTTTGCGTCATTGCAGGTGCAACCTTTCCGTTTGTGACACGAGAGCTGGCCAATGGATGTAGTGAGATATTAGGTGATGCTTACCTTGCCAACACGACGTTGAAACAAGCTCTTGGGGGAGGTGGCAAGTCGAGATGGGACGAGGATATATATGAAGACGTCAGCCATCCTCCTACTGATGACTGGAACGCCGAAGACGAGATCATGCAAAGCCTGATCGCTGAAATGGACTGGATGACGCTACAGTGAGACTTGTTGCGCTCACACTGTGAGAAATTCGTCCTACCTTCCCTGCGAGTCACCGAACCGATGTTAGACATTGACCGCAAGGCATTGAGCGCAAGCAGCAGAGAGTACCTACACACTCATTCCAACAAACAACAACCACAAGTAGAGCTTCGCGGCTTGAAGCACGAAGAACGATTTGTATTGATGCGGCATCTGATACGAAAGCGCTCGTAGGTCAAAGATGACGGTAACGCAGCCAAATGCTTCGAACCCCTGGCTCAATGGTTGGGCTCAGCCTCCATATATTCCCATCACACACGCTCTGGAATCACCCATCTGCACTCCCTCTTCCAGGACCCGGCATATGGCAGCCACTCTCTGACCTCTATCAGATCTTGGGTGCACATCCACGGCGACTCGGCGTCTCTGCCAGTCACAGCCCTTACGTGACGCTGTTCGAGGATGAAGGTCCGTCTCGCCCATTCTTGGGAGGCTTGCACGCAAGTCACCTGTAAATCCACACGCAACCGATCGTGCACCAGAGGCGACTCCAGCCGCTCGAGTCCCTGCACTAGCTTTACTGCGTCCAGGCGAGTGAGCCTTTTGACCGGATACTCGTACGCGCCAGCTTCGAAGCAGGCGGTAAGCTTAACATGCCGGACCTTTCGCGCCAAGCCGAATCGGACATTGAGAGCGGTGTGGAACTCACGCAGCGTCGAGAACGCGGACCGAGCAAGCTGTGATGGCGAAATGCCACCGATCCAGTCCTCGTGGTTGAAGTAACTTGCTTTCTGGCGCCTAGCACTTCGCCAGAATGTGATGTCAAGAGGGAGCTCATGCGTGGTGGATTCGACCCAGACAG